TATTATTATTATTATTATATTATTATTATTATTATTATTATTATTATTATTATTATTATTATTATTATTATTATTATTATTATTATTATTATTATTATTATTATTATTATTATTATTATTATTATTATTATTATTATTATTATTATTATTATTATTATTATTATTATTATTACTATTATTATTATTATTATTATTTTTATTCAGTCAACTTAATTTCTTTTTTATTTCACCAAATTTAATTTTGCTTTATTAATTGTCATTCAGTGTTTCATGACTACTATTGTTATGACAAATACACTTAACATAAAGGAAAAAAAGTGAAAATATGAATTGTTATTTTGAAATATATATATGCTTTAACATATTGCAAGATAGAATTCGCATAACTTTAACAATCATGTAATCATATCATCTCTTTCATCGGGTGATAATCATCCAATTAGGAGGATAATATAATTTGCCTGGTAATGTATTACGATATGATTGTTATATTCTGATTGGTATTAGTAACTGTGAACGATTCCTTTTCAATCATCATTGTTCTCCTTTGATATCATTACCTCTCTGATGCTTTTTTTTTTATCTTTTCATTCATTATCACTTCTTCAGCGCATTGCTTTTGATGACAATGTTATATCATTATCTAATGATGCTTCTTATCAATGGGAAGCATTTTATTTGATACATTTGCTAAGCATAAACAGGTTTGACTGACTTTATATAATATTCCAGAAATTATATTGATAAAAAAATTGATGAATTGCTAAAATCCCCCGAACTCCTTCAGGTTTTTTCATTTTAAAAAACGTGTTTCATGTTTTTAGTCACATATTTTGAAAAACCTTTCATACAATTTCTATTTTCAAAATCCAGGCGATTTTTTTCTTTGAAATGCTTTTGTTCGTTTCAAATTATTGCATAACTTTCTACATTACCTTCATGCATAAATCTTTTGTTGTCTGTTTGATTATTTTGAAATTTCAATAATGGAACTGCCCAAAGTCAGAAATAATTCATAATGGGTCTTTTCAGGTCTTTCAGTCGTTTTTTCTTGATTATTTCATCCTATGGTATATGCTTATAATTTGCTGCTATTTCATTATTTTGGTCATGTAAATGAATAGGTGCCTTATGTTATTATCCCTCCTATACTTACTGATAGAATTATCGATTATTGATTTTTTTTCTTCGCAAAATCTTCAACAAATTTCACTATAGCTGCAGTAGTATTTATCAGATTAAATAAAAGGAAAATAAAAAAATTCATATCTTCAGTTCCATAATGTCAATCAACAACACACATCTTTTGATATATAGTCATCGCACTGATAAAGACTACAGTTTGCCTTGTAACCATAACTCTTGCCACATAATGAAACTGCAAACTTCGCGGCAAACCTCACCCGGTATTTCGGTCCTTCAGTTTCCGAAGCGCCAAACCGGTGAAAAATAATAAAACCGTTGCAGAGTAGAGGTAAGGCACCATGAAAATTTTTGTCTCGAGCACAGTTTTTTGTCGCATTTTGCGGACAATTCAAGGCGACACGAAGTCAGTTTCGTTTCAGGGTGTGTTGCATGAAACGGAACACGAAATAATCTAGTCCCATTTTAGATTTTCCGTGATCGGGTATGAAGCGTGAGTTTGGGTAAGAAATTAATTCGATAGTTTCGCGAAGTATGGCAGAAATCTGTCACATTGCTTTTTATTAGGGATTTCAAACATTCTTAGGTATCATAGATTTTCCTATATATTGTTTTCTTGTAAATATTTTATCATATATACTAATTTTTAGCTTATAACAAACATAAAAGATTATGTTACATTAAAATTATTCAGTTGAGCTAGTTAAAAAATTCGCTTTAGATGTGGACAGATTTGTTGAATCGAAAAGAAATAAGTAAGTATATAACCTCGAAAATAATTAAGGAAATTTTCGTTTATTTTTTTTAAAATGAATAATAGGCTTATTTCCTATTTTCAAACCGAGCAAGTTTTGAAATTGAGACAGATAAACAGTTATATTTTTATCCTTAATAATACATATTTCTTGCTGCGTTGCAATCTTTTTTCTCTGTCCCGGCACTTATGTTGAATGCTAAGTGTCACTTTTCCAGGTTGGATTTTCGCAATAGTCGGTGTTTGTAGGGTCGGTTAGGCAATAAAACTCATAGTTAATTAGAATATGCCATCATTCAACAACTGTTCATTCTTTCCACCACGTATGATTAAAATACCAATAATACCTTCATTATCCGATCCATTATCATCACTGGGTGATTCTAAGATTGATTCATATCTGCTTATTCAGATGAAGGAAATCGAAGAAATTTTAATCAGAAAAGTTTCTAGTCAATTTAAATTGCTTTTATGGAAAATCCACGGCACCTTACCCGTAATATTTCTTTTCCAACAACGAACATTCTAGTTCCACAAAATTTGTTTTCCCCGTGATGGAACAATAGCATAAATATCACTGATGTCTTTGCATCCTTATATGATTAAGTGTTAAGGTGCTAGCTCACTTTTGCCGGTCCGGCGACTAGCGATCTAAAAGTCTAAAAGTCTGTTCCTTTCCATTCAAGATCTGGTAAATATGCGAAATCAGGGATGGGAAATCTAGACGAATAAGTTCATGGATGTTTGTTAGTCTTCGAGATATATTCTCAAACATATCTTGAAGATTACTTCAGTTTTGTCCTAACATGGAAAGCAAATGGCCGTCTCTATGTACCTCTAATTTATATCAGGGAAACCACATCTGAACAACTTTGAATTTTAGCATACATGAAATGAGACATTTAATCGTAATGAACTCAGTACAGCTTGACAATGTAACTCACGGGAGTATTTTTCAGGAACTCTCTAAAGCAACGTCTTTATCTTATCGGCACCAATATTCAGTTGATAGGGAAGTATCAACATCGAATTTTAATGCTCCATTAAATTTATGTGAATTATTTAACGACGAAATTATGAATAACGAAAGTATCAGTTTGCCAGTAAGGTTATTCAAACCTCTCAGTTATACCGTGAAAATATACAAAATTTAGTAGGTGGAAAAAAAGTTTTCTTTCTCAAACAAAATTTTTCTTTTTCATTCCATCCATCTAATAAGTGAAGAAAATTTTATCCATTTTCCCTAACAAATCCCCAGTTTTACTAGCACATTTGTACATGATGCAGATTCTTTTTTAGATCCAAATATTTTAGTATTCAAAATGCTAGAACAAACTGTGCAGAAATTTTTGCGAAGTGTAACTTTTACTTCACAAATTTTCAGAATTCTAAAAATTCTTAATGGACAAACGTTGCTTTAGTTATGGATCGTTTAACGAAAAGGAGCTCTAGGTTTATGTGATCAACACTCCAGTTTTTTTTTGTTTTTTTTGTGATCAACAACTTCATTACAGATGTCAGTTTTTCAAGGAGAATTAAATGAACACGGTATCGCACAAGACAAATCTAAAGGATTGTTGTCATTATTAGATGGAATTATCATTAGAATTATTGAAAAATTGAGTTCCGAAGATATAGCTAACTTAGCAGATACTTGCATTAAACTTCGAGAGGTTCGTGATCACTCATTTAGCTTATTCTTCCAGAAATTGTCTTTCATTTCTTATTTATTTCGGAATATATATTTCGATGCTTTAAAATAACTAATTTGACAGAGTCATAAGTGTTTTTAATCTTTTCAGAAGAATTATCTAGCGAAAATCAGATTTCTTTTGTGCAAAGGGAGTAGCTAGAAAGACAGTATTTATTTGCAATATACCGAAATAAAAAAATCGTTAAGATCTTTTGGTTTGCACTCCTTACATGCCTTAATGTAAAAACACTTGAATAAGTTTTAATATCTTTTGTGGTATGGAAATGGGGGTGATTTATTTGTCTTATTTTTTTGTTCGTATTTAAAAATTTCGTGGGAAATGGGTTATATATATTCTCAATATCTTACTTAACTTTGTTTTTTTAGGTTGTACGAAAAATGACAACAGGTGATGACAGTTTATCCGATTTCAGCATTGAAAGCATTGATGAATTAGACTGCACCTGCGAATAAAACGAACCATTTGACTGTTTCAGTTTTTTTTGAATTTCGTATTAGATATACTGCAAGCGGAAACTTGGTAACAAGAAAATCATTGTTACCGAGTTTTATCGTTATTGCCGCTTATTATCTGTGTTATTTTAATCTTGTTTAATCAAAATATAAATAACACTTGTCATCTTATTCTTTATTTTCAAATCCTCACGTCATAATTTGATGCAATTAATTTAAAAATAATATTTGTTAATGCTTTTTAATTAATGAATAATAATTTCTTAATTAGTAAACAAATCGAAACCTTGCTCAAATTTTGTACTTGATGGTATTCTTTGTCAAGTCTTTATTTACGGATGAAAGTGACAACAACCATTTATCCGAATTTTTTAATATCCATTAAATGTTCCTCAAGTGATTTCTATTTGCTACAAAATATCAATACTTTTTGACCCATAATTCATGTTTACATCTAGAATTATACCTTTTATGATGTATTCCGTTATCGCTTAATTTTGCGATAAAAATTATTCATTTTTTCTTTTTTTTGTTTTGTACTTATTTATATAGATGATGTATTGAGTCGTACTTAGCACTGTCACTTTTTGTCTGAATATTCTTTTCCTTTGTCAGCATTTTCTGAACCGAATTTATTTTAAAAAGAAATCAGAAATAGCGAGATGTTTTGCTGATCTTTCTTAAAATACTGACCGTAAAGAATGGTTAATTTTGGTTACAATTTCAGTTCATTTCATCCAAATTAGTTGCAGATTCTAGATGTCTCCATAATTTGTTTGTCGAACCCAAACTTAAAATTGCAGCTTCTAGATGTTTCCATTTGTTTATCAAGCCCAAATTTATCGTAGGGTCGTATGAGCGTTTCAAAATTGTTGAACTGTTGGATTTCCTGAACCTGACCGGTTATTTGCTGAACCTATCTCTGAAACTTCTGCAACGTATTTCAAAATTACCTTATACGACTGTAGGATGTCTTAATTTATATCAGAAGCAACATAACCACAAGCGTAATAAACGAATTTCACGAACTTTTTTGAATAGAACTTTCCATTACTTTTTTTTCTATTACAGAGTCAAAGATGCCAGCTGAAGTAGCAGATGAGCGTAAAGTTAAGAAGAGAAGAAAAATAAGACGGAAGAAAATTCATACTGTGAAGGAAGTAGCTAGCGAAGATGAACTTGTTAAAAAGCGACTAAATGCAAAATTTAAAATGAAAACACATCGAGCAAATGATGATGGTATGCCATGTTTGAGGCTGAGTAAAAGTAAGCATTTGTTTGATTTTTTCATTCTGATAGGATATCATTAGTCAACTCATTCCCACTTAATCGATTCGTTGGGTTAAAATGACTTTTGGTATCTTACCAATGGTTCAAATTTCCTACATGATAAAATATTATCAAGCTATGATCACGATCAAAATAATCATACTAGAATCATGAATTATTTGCTTTCGAATCCGATTTGTCATTACTAAGCCTTACGGACTAATTGATATTTACTTTTATCTTAGTTTCTTTGAGACTAATCTAGAGGTTGCTTCGTGTTAGATACTAATTGATGGTACTGGAAGTTTGCTAACTATATTTAAGGATTCCGCTTAATCTGATGAGATTCCTCCTTTCTTTAATGACAGTTATTATATTTATTTTACGAGTGATTTTTCCGGGAAGTTTTCACGGTTAGTTCAGGAAACGTTTATAAATGTTGAACATGTGCAGGATTCCGAAATAATGTTTTAAATATTTTTTCATAGAAGATCAAATGGTAGTGAAAAATGGCGAGAAACACGATGTGTTGTTGAAAAGGAGTCAAGAAGCACTGTTAAATCGTTTGAATCAAGTAAGTATGCGTTTTCGACTACATCAGAATGTCAGGATTTCACGATCGTTATTACCATTTATTCATTGGTGTTATATGACCATTAGAATGATCTGGAAGGAATTTTACGATGCCAGCTCTGCTATTTATCTTAATCCATTTGTTAATTAGATTTTATTTATTGAATTCCATTTTAGGTTTCATTTCTTCCTTCCCTTTTCCTTCTCTGCTTTTTTTGTCCTATGCTTTACCAGGTTGAATGCAACGAAGTGAAAATAGTAACTCGATGGAAGTGCGCTCTTTGTCAACAACGTACTTTACGTTCTGTGTTGGGTGATCTATTCGGTCCATACTTTGTACGATTAAATGGAAATCACTGGCCTTCACATTTGGCCAAGAAACCACAAAAGATAAATGAGCAGGTTGGTTTTTATCGCAAAATTCCAATTTTTAGAAAATGGAGTTTCCCTAGTTCTATTTTTTGAAAAAGATTAACAAAAGATGTTCGGACATTTCATTTTTTTTAGCACATTTCTTTAAAATCCTTCCTGTTTCCGTTAGTGCTTCTCTATTTTGCGTCACCATCGTGTTGTGTTGATTACCACTTGAGGAAGAACGATGTATATTTGAGGCATTAGGCCACATCTGGCTTTGACAGATATCTTGAAACAATCAAGGGACGAAGAATTATCGCATTTAACGAATAAAGAGAAAATCCGTTTCAACAAAAAATCGTCTTATTTTCCAGTTTTAATCTAACCATTTTCAGGCTGAATTATATTGTGATATTTGGCTACATGGTCCGTGTGCTCTAACTGCACCTGGTATATATCTGGTCGGCAATCAACTTGATGGGCTGCAAACGAAAATTACTGCTTTTTGGGCGCAGGTTTTAAATTTTTCTATTGTTTGGATAAGAAAATTCTTTGCTAACTCTGAGTCAGGAGAAATAACGTCAATCAAATATGGTCAACTAATGGTGATTTTTTACTTATCATAATCAAGTAGTTGTGCACTTGTCGTAGTAAATGTTTTTTTTTTGGATTTAGTTTAGGTTAGCTCTGGTTAATCTTCTAGATTCGTGATGGATGGAAGGGAGGGTAAACTATATTGTTTTTCGCTTTATTTTTGTTTATGTCTCTGTTCCTTTCCTTTTATGAGGGCAATAAAATAATAAAATTTCTACAGCACTGTGTCGTGTGCTCCAAAGAAGGTGCGGCAATTGAAAATCGCGGCAAGTATTATCATTTCCCATGCGCTTTACAAAAAGGTCCCGATTACTTAATTTTTGTCTCGAATATACTTGTTTATTTTATTTGGCTCATTAGACACCATAGTATACCACTTCAATTGTATAGCGTTTTCTTTTGTCTAATAATTCGAGCCACAAATTTAGCAAACTTCAATGTATTCCTTTTGCTTCTCAAACCAGGTGGAATCTCGACTTGGAAAGATATGCTTGATTGATGGAGGGAGATATCTGTTAATTTTTTATCATTCACTTACTGTAACCTATTTTAATTTCTGTGCATTTATTGTGGATATTACATACTCCATTTCAGATATCAAAACATGATTCACACCACAAACTGATTTGTTTGGAAAATTCTTGTGATATTTGAATATTTTGAAACTAAAAGATCAACTTTTCACGACTTCCGGAATGATCTAAACCTCTTGGACCTTGATCTTCACTTATTTGTTTCTCACTAATACTATGGTCTATTTGATTTCACTGATTTGTTTCTGCGGTATTGTCGGCTTTCAAAAATTGTTATTATGTCTTGCAATTTAACAAGTTGCAAAGCTCCTCTGCAGAATTTAATGAATTGCCGAAGCAGTAGATCATGCTTTGTTTCATTTATTTTACCATCTTGCTGAAGACGTAAAGAAAAGTCTGATTCATTAATGTTTCTTTCTTTTCTTTACCACTTTAATGAAGCCTTGTCACTTTCACCAACAAATCAGATCAAATATTGCTGAAGTATTGCTGGAATCTCTGGAAATATCTAATGTTTGAAATTAGTAATATCAATTAGTTCGAAATTTTCAAATCCTCCAAAACAAAGGAAGAGACGAAGTTATTTGTTGTTTACACTTTCTCAAAATGATAACATCTTATTTTTAATATTTTGTACTAGATGTTGTATTTCGAAAATTGTCCATGACATAATAAACTCGAATTTATATATCCAACATCCAGCACCAAATTTCATGATAGCATATTTGAAATGATTGGGAAATGGATGATAACCACTATCGCCAAAGTGAAGCTCTCCCCTCTCCTTTTTTATTTTTCTATTTTTTTTATTTTCTTTCGACACATCACCATATTTAAGGGCGAAGTAAATGATTAAAGGTAAATATGTTTTTGATATGAATATTGCAAAAGGATAAGAACAGAATTCCGAACGGATTCACGGCAGATTTTCATCGATTTTGATCATAAAACGAATGATGAAATCAGCAAGATTTTATGAAAATTTGCATACTGTCAAGAAATTCAATGCAAACAATTTATCCAGCAAGATGGTCATCTTTAATACTTTTCGCATTCATAAGGAACGGTTGTGTATTCGAAGGCTCTATTCTATTGAGATTTTGGTTGTTGAAAAAGTGAGTTTGTTGCTAGAAGTAGAATAGGTTAGTTACGAATATAATTTTTAATTTTTCAATTAAGTAGAAATTTGTTTTCTCTCTTTTTTTAATTTAATCAATTTATAGCATAGAAGAAATTTTTGTACCAAAGAAATATGCTGGAATGAATAATGAAAATTCTTTAAATCCTACACGCACTAAGTTTTTGGGTCTAGATTTACCAAATCAAACGTGTATCGAAAATTAAAATTTAAAATAAACGGAATTGTCTTGAAGTTATCGAAATTTTAAGATTTACAAAAAAGATGGATAAAGCAACGCATGAGCAACAAGAAAAAGCTATTGTTGTCGCATGGGATTGGACATCTGTTCAAGTTCCACTTGATAAAATCAACATATTTGTCAATAAGGTTAGTCATTTATAGAATTTAAATTTAACATTTAGATTTAGGTATGAACTATGCAAAACTGTTTTAACTTGTTATTCTAATTTCCGAAATTTGTTCATCATAAATCTATTTTATTCATTAAAACATTTTATATTGGAAATAAATTCCCTCTTAAAAGAAGATACAAAAATTTAACAGTTTGGCAAAATCAGCTATATTCCTAATTAATTCATATAGTTAATTCACCTATGCTATTGCTATATTTCCCTCACGACAAATTAAGTTCATTAACCTTCAATTATACGTAAGCCAATTTAAGTTCATATATATTTTACCATATGACATAACCGAAATTTTTTTTCGTATAACTTACTTGACAGAAATTAAATGACGATTTCTTAGTTCTCAAGTATTCAATTTAGACTTTCATTTTTAGTTTTTAATCTCAGCCCATATACATTCATTTATGTGTATGTTAATATGACATTAATTTATTCCAACCAATTGAAGAAAAAAAATTTGTTTTCTATGAAAAAAAGTCTGTTGAAATACCTAATAATATTTCTAGACAATTACGATTCCGAGACTTTTCAAATAATAACTATTTTTAAACCAAAAAAGAAAACAAGTAAATAAATAAAATAGAAAAAAATATCGAATTGTCATGATTTTGACATCACTTAGGATACGGCACAAGATTTTAGGTTGACAGCTAAGTTTTTCAATTTTTTTCCCTTCAATAATTCAACTGATTTTATAATTTTCAACAATTTATAGATTTTGAATTTTTTTTTCCATGGTAGAAGGATAGGTTGTTTAGATTCGTTCCACAATTGCCGAAAATCTGGAGGAACATCATCCACGTGAATGTGCTTTTTTGGTCTATTGTGATACTCGTTTCACACCACTTGCCATAACTCGAGAATTGGCTAAGTGTTCGGTTCGTATTTTCCTAAATTTATCAAACAATTCCCAGATTATTTTGAAATCAAATTTTTTGAACTTTTTTTTTACATAAGAAAAGGATATCAATAGCTAGTTAATTTTTCCATAAATTAATTAAGCTATATTAGTAATTTCATGCATTGAAACAAGTTTAGAAGTTAGAAAATGAGGCATAAATATTATCACATCAGGCGGGCTAAATTTTCTTTTCATTCAATCATCAATTAAAGATGTATCACATGAAAATTTAATTATTGATTGAGTTGAAATTGATGATGAAATTAATTCCTTTTTTAATTATTACAATAATGATCTTTACATCATATTTCGCTTCATTTTAATGCATCACTCCTTCATGTATAATTCAAAGAATAGATTTGCTGGAGTATTTAAAGTATGTCAAAATTTAATTTATCGTTTTAAAAGTTTGTAAATTTTTATCATCTAAATTTGAAGGATAATATGATTCGGTAGTTGCAGAGATAATGATTAAAAATACTGACAAATATTATAGTTAATAATAGGTCACACTTCCCTAACCTTATTAAAAAAACAAACTGGTGAAGAGAAAAAAAAAGCCAAATCAAAGTGAAGAGATCAGGGAAAAAAGTAGAAGTTGGAAAAAAAGTGAAAACCAAAAAATTCAATAATTCAGATATCACTCTAAGCAATTCACATATGAGACGTAATTACAAAGAGTTTATAAGTGATAATAATTTTATTTGAATAATAAAATGTCGAAGTATTCACAGTCTTTTTTTTTTTTGAAAACTTCAGCATTTTTGTGGAATAATTTTAATATGAATTTATCCGAATTTTTAGTAATTTAATTAAATAGTTGATTAACAAAAAAGCTTTTTGATATAGAATGTGGATATACATCATATCGAATCACACGAATCTTCCTGGGGTATTTGTAAAAAGCTACACCGTTTTCATGTTGATTATGATCCTGGTGTTCTTGCTCTTATTTCTGGTAAGTTTATTCTGGGAAAAAAGAAAAAACGAAATTTTCATTAAAAAAAAATCATTTTGGGATTTTTAGAATTATTTCTTTTGTCAGTGTAGAACAAATTGAAAATACTTTTTTTTGTAGACAAATAAAAATTTACGAATGAATATTTGAATATTATGGCAAATTCAATGAATGAATGTTAATAATTCACTTCTATTACAGAACTAAAAACAATCACTATAATATCCGGGAAGGCAAATCATAATTTCGAAAAAAATAAAATTATTATATTTCAAATAAAAACTAGGATTTAAATGAATGAAAGCAAAATTCAAGTGTATTTATGAAATGAAAATGAAATTTTTACTTAAGTGATTTAAAAGAAATGATCATTTGTATTTCATTTGTAATTTATGTATTAGGTGCCTCAGTAGCATACGGTCCAATACTTACAAAACTTAGTCGTTGCGGATGGTGCGTTCAATTATTTCATCCAGAAAATGCACCACGAGATTATGTGGATTATGGTGATCATAATTGGTCGGTTGAACGCTTACTTGATGGAGAAATTGGAAATATTAATGTTTGTTTACATTTTTGGTCATCATTTTTTTTCTTCAAATTTATTTTATTGGTCATAATATTTGGTATAAATAACAATTTACCTATTAAAAATTTCGTTTTTTCTTTTTTTATATTTGATAATAATCCAAAATGGGGGAAACATTAATTTGTTAGTTTTTTGATTAAATTAATTTTTACATTGATCTCTTTTTTCTTAAAAAAATAAAAAAAAACATCTTTTTTTAAAAAATCAATCAACTTGAATAGTTAGTAAATGGTCATAAAAATTTCTCAAATCTTTTACTCAACCTTCTTTGTTTTTGAGATAGAAAATTAATGATGCAATTTTTGGAAATTAAAAAATTTTTGATTTCAAGATTAGCGTAACTTTCCCGCACACGGTATATTTTTTGGTAAGTGAATTGTGCAACAGTGATGAGTCATTTGGTTTCTTGAGTAATGTTACCGAACAGTACGAATCAAACGTTATCTATTTTAATGAAAAAGCTGCTGAAGCAATTGTTGAATTGAAAGCATTTGATATTGAAAGGTTAGTTGTTTATTTGTTCAAAAAATTTAATTTTAAAAAAGAACAAATTAAAATTTGAACTACTTATTCGTTTTTTTTCTTTCTTTCCTTCTTTTGAAAATTTATTTTAACAATTTATAAAATATAGATAAATTCATTTCATAATTTAGTCAGAAAAGCAACTTTTCTTTTCATTTATCAATGTAAAAATTAGTTGTATATATGTTGGAATGAAAGGTATGTAATAATAGAATCGAATAGACATTGTTATTAATGTTATGTAAACATCATTAAATGATATGTACATACAATAATAGGTGCTGGTAAGTGACAGTGTTTACCGAAGGATTGAGGGGATACACGGGGTAGTACGTCGGGATGAAGAGGAGGAGAATTGAAGAGAAGAGAAGATAAAAAGGTAGGAGAAATTTTGATTGGATGGATGGAAGGAATAATTCGACAGAGGTTTAATGATGCCAAATATAGTGATTTGGATTTATATCACTTTGATTTTCATTCATATCATCACAAAGTTATCCCACCCAATCTATCAAGCAAATGACCTTCAAAAGTTTCTCTATCTCGAAATGCATCTTATCTTATATTCCTCCCATCATCATCATCATCGTCATCATCTTTTTCTTCCTTGTATTTTTCTTAAAATTTTCTATTCGATCTAAAATAATCGTTTTGCCTAAATAAATGGATGAATGAATGAGAATAAAAAAGGCCTAAAACAAAGATTGAAATAGGTAATAATTAAAATTTGAATAACAAACCAATAAGCTAATAAATTAACAAAAAAATCCAAAAAAGAAAATGAATAATTCATCGTCAATTTTTCTTTATTCATGAAAAGAAATTTTTATCATCGCTAAGATTGCAATCATCCAAGCAGAATATAAAACTTAACTTAAAAAGATCAATTGATCTGATGAAAGATCAATTGATCTGATCGGATGGTCGAATCTTTTGTTGAATTAATATCATTACTAAATCTAACTTTTTTTTCTTTTTTTAAAATCTAAACATCATCAAAAAATCAGAATATAATTATTAATTATTTCATAACAATTATCAAATTCCTTTTGTTATAACCATTATCTATTATAATGAAATGTCGTAACTATTCGCATTTTTTTTTTTTTAAATATATGTAT